TTCATTCACAGTTTTCTCAGTGCACCTCTTAAAATGACAGTAACTAATACAGGTTCTGAAACTCCGGACCATCTTGTGAAGCCAGTCTGCTGTATGTTGTTCTCTGTGCAGCTTTCATGATGAAAGCACTGTTGCCACCGTTTTGTGCCACTTCCTTTGCGGTTCTTAGTAGAGCCACGCTGTGTTTTTCTTCAGGCTGTAGTGCACAGTTAGTTTGTTGATTTCAAGTCTGTTGGCAACAGTTTTCTTACGGGATCCCTTTTTGTTCGATGCCATCTCGCAGTTCTCTTCTTTAAGCTTCAGTTTGAACACTTTATGTACAAAATATCGAAAACTCCCAAAAAATTCCAGCCATTGAGATTGAATTTGCTGCTGTTCAACAAATGTATCAGTGTAGAAGGTCGTTGTGTAGACTTTGTAAAGGAAACATCTACTTTAAGCTTGGATTTTCCCTCACCACTAAGAATCCTGAAAACCTTGTAGCTTCCTAAACATCTATCAGCTGGGTGACTTTAAAATCCCAAATGACTGTACTGATAGCATTTGGCAGTCGTGTGGATTTTCTTGTTGTTTTATTTTTCCTCGTGCTCCCATCTTGAAGTTGCAATAATGAACAAACAGCTTCCATTCTCGCTGTAGAAGCGGCCGTCCGGCTAAGATCCAAAGGCAGAATACTGAATGAGGCTGAAGGATTAAAGGATCACTGGAGTCAGGTAACATCTCTGTTGGTGAGTTTAACATATACAAAGCTTGTGGTTGCTACAGGACACCACGGAGGAATCTGCTGCTCTGTAAAAAGAACAAAAAATAAAAAAAGGTTTGCAGTAGGTTTACCAAAGAGCACCTTGACAGGCATGAGTGGGAAAAAGGGTTTCATGGACCTACAGTAAGTCATCATCTCAAACAGGAAGTTTAGTGCATCATGATTAAAGGGGTTAAGTTATTGCCTCTGGCTGTATGCAGCTCGCTAATACGAGGCGACCTAAATGATGCACTCCCAACAACATCCTCAGAATCTGATTTAACGAAGGGAACACGTGCAATTATCCGATCTGCAGCTAATCAGTGTGAGGTTATCGGTGGGTGGAGCAGTTATGAAATCCACGGGTTCACTGTGACTGTCTAGTGGGTGTGCTGTTTGATTAAGCACATTGTGTTCATCTGCACTTAAAAGAACATTTTATGAACAAGTCATGCAGAAAACCAGGTCATTCCAGCGGATTCACATACCGTTTTGCTGCTACTGTACGACCACCTCGGGGCACACTTAATTTAGCTGCTTTTTTTTTCTGCTGTGCATTTTAGGTTATTTATTAACAGAATGGATCACATACTGTTGACTCATTGTTCATAAAAAAAAAAAAAAAGCCATTTTTCCGTCTTTATTTGAAGTTCATGCCACTTTAGTGCATTTTATTACATTTATAGAAACTCAACCACTTGCTAAAAACTCAAGCTTGAAAAATACGGTGAATTTATGTAAATAAAATACTTAATAATATGATAATTAAACTCCCAACTAGAGTGGCAACAGTAAAGCACTACTAACCCGTCATATGTAACACAACAGCTGTGCTTGTTGTTACTGCTGACACAATCTGAGTGATTATTTAATGTGCTGGTGCTACTCTTAGGAATTAAAGGATCTAAATATTTCCTTTTCTTCACAAAGTTTAAAAAGGGGGTCTGGATTTTTTTGTACAAAACAAACCGAGCCCGACTACCACGCTGTAGGAAAAGGGGATGAAGACCCCCCCGTCCTTTCCTCTGACAGAGCTATTCTGGAGCCTTTCAGTCCCTCAGCAATTTCATGGTTTGCTGCTATGTTGTTTCCAGGCAACGCTGGAAATGTTCCTGTCCCGGTGCCCCAGGGAGCCAAACAACAATATTTCAGCAGAGAAGAGCAGTATCAAGGAAATGACCTGGTACAGTTAGGGAAGCATCTGCTGGTAAGATTGTGCATGCTTATCAGAATCAAGGGCAGCGAAATTGGAGATAAAAATGTGTTGTTGAGGTTAAAAGACTTGATAAGCCCGCTGACTTCCAGCTGAGGCATATTTCGCAAGGTTATTTTAGCAGGTCAGGGTAGATAACACTATTAGATGCTCAGCTGCTGGTTGTGCTGCGGGACAAGGACCCAATTTGCTCCTTCTATTGTCGTGCGTGTTGCATTAAAAAAAAAAGGAAACTTTCTGCTTTGACTCATGTTTTATGATAGAATATCATTAAAACTGTGCAAACTAAGTGGAATATTTCTTGTATCGTATTTAACTGCAGCCCCAGTTTGTCTGTGTCGTGTATAACCAGGAGGCAAAATGACAAATTTGTGGATGTAGACATGTGGCAAAAATAAATAAATTTGACCCTGACAGTGAAAGGATCTTCTGTTACGCTGTAGGGGGCTTTTTTTCAGGGATTATTTGGGTCAACTTGCCCCTTTCGAGGGAAGAGTCGCTGCAAATCAGTGCAAAAGTTGTAGTAGGGGATCACATTTCTTGAGGAGTGGTCTCTTTGAGGATGATAATGTCACCGTAAATTTGCCACAAGGAGTCAATGAATGGTTTGATGAGTATTAAATTTAGTGAATCTAGAACTTGGATCGGGCTGCAGGGTGGCGCAGTTGGTTAGCACTGTTGCCTCACAGCAAGAAGGTCGCCGGTTCGCGTCCCGGTGGGGGCACCGGAATCTTTCTGCGTGGAGTCTCCATGTTCTCCCCGTGCAGTGTGGGTTCTCTCCGGGTTCTCCGGCTTCCTCCCACACAGTCCAAA